GGACGTTTAATTTAGCTTAAATAGATATATTATCCGGAAGATTACTGAGAATATTATATTAAATATGTTTGGTTAGATTAAAATAAATTAATAGGTATGTTATATGGGTAAATATTAGCTCATAATCTAATCTTACAAATTTTATCTCATAACTCCAATATGATATTTCGTAATTGGTCAACTCGTAAATAAGTAGACGAAACTCAATTACGAGTTGACCAATTGTGAACTGGTATGTTGGATTTGTAAGAGAAAATTTATGAGATTAGATTATAAGTGTAATACTACTCATATTATATTGATATGTTTGATTGAGAGAAATAAAAGAATTATAGAAAAAATTATTTTACTTAATTATCTTTATTTTTATAATATTATAATAATATTAAAGAAGTTTAAAAATGAGTCAAAACAGACCCAGCAAGCCAAGAAATCTGCCAGTCGCCGCCACCACCGCCGGCTGGATCTCAGACAATTCCAAGTTCCAACAACCTTTTAAAAAAGGTGTCTGTTGAATTTTTATCTTCTTGAAAAGTTTTGTATGTATGTGGGTCCTTGATTTTGAATAAATGGCCACTTTTATAAATATAATAACACTAGTAGTTAAACAATGCTTATCATTAATCAACACATAACCTTCTAAACATTAATAAATTCTAAAACCTTAATTAAATGTACACAAATATTACGTATTAAATCACTTGGTCGGCATCAAAGTGTAAAGAAATGTCAAACAATTAGAAATTCTACAGTTTTCAATTTATTTCAATGGCGGAGCCTATTGCCAATTTGCCATTTGCCAAACCCTTTTATTGAACCAAGCAATATAAAAAAAAATTTGTGGTTTAGATTTGAGTACTAGTTAATTAATTAGTCAAGTCAAAGTAACCCCCACACGTTTTGCGAAAATTCTTTAATCGAAATTCTCATTATGTAATATATTCATTCATCAGCATCTTATACTGTTACTTTACTCTATTATATTGACGAAAAGAAATATCACTTTAAAAATTATTGAGAATATTTATAAAATGTGTTTGATTAGGAGGATAAATAGATGGATATGTTATATAGATTACTAAATTACTCTCCTTTTTAAATATTAATATAATAGTATTTTTTATTATTATTTTTTGAATTATTTCTTTTAACCCTCTGCATTTGAAATTTTGTTAAAACATCATAGGCATAAAAACTTTAATTTGTAGCAAAATCACCCCCACCCACCCCAAGCCACTGTCGACGACCACTGACAGTGGACGGAATGGTACATGACTGGTCGTATATGGCTAGCCGTGCGCCAGCAAAGCCCTAAATGATCATGGATCACAAATCCATGGCATTTTCACTGCCAAATCTATGGCCATTTCATGACCAAAGATGTGGCTATGAAACAGCCACAGATCTAGCAGTGAAAATGCTAGATCTTTGGCTGTGAAACAACCATAGAAACACCAGATCTAGTCGTTTTCGGCCATGGATATATGATCCAGATCCATGGCCGAAAAAGGTCTTACCGACACACGTCTGGTCAGATCCTGCCGGTCGTGTACCATTACGACGATTGAAGTCGACGGCCAATAGTGGTGAATCACGGCCGACAGTGGTCTTGAGTGACTGGGGGTATTTTGTTAACTTTTAAACTTTTTTGTGGCTGTGGTGGTTTAGCTAATTTCTCAAATATAGGGGGGTTGGGTAATTGTTATTTGGTAGACATTTGAGGACAATTGTGTCCGAAATGGTTTTTAATTAAGGGTAAAATGAGAAGAAAAATCATATTACCCTGGTAATGTTTTAATAACAACCTCTAGCAAGGGAATAAGACTACCCCCCACATTACCAACAGTAACCACTATTTGCAATAAAATATTACAGTAATATTTTATTACTTGTAAACCAAATACATGAATCTTGCAAAATAAACGAATACTACCCCCGTTATCTTATTTATCCCTGATCCAAACGGCCTCTTAAGGGGCGTTTGTTCAAAAAATGTTGTAATATGTTTGGTTGAAAGGAATAAAAGAATTTTGGGTGAAGCCTTTTACTTAATTGTCCTTCTTTTTTAATACTAAGTTGCCAATTTCTTTTAATATTATTATAATATAATATTATTAATTAAGGATAAAATTATAACAACATTAAGATTACCAAGTAATCTTATAATATCTAAGAAATGGTCGTATTCAAATTACTCTTATATAATCTACATTGATTACTATTTACTATTGGTATTGAAGGATTTGATAACCAAACATGATAGTGACAATAATATAAGATGATATTGTTGAAGTAATTAACTAATTACCCAACCGAACACACCCTTACTATTATTATTGTTTATTTTATAGAATACAATTTTATCTTTTATAAAAATGATTAAAAACTTAAATAAAAATATATTTTTCCTGAGATAAATGATATCTTCTAAAACAGTTTAGCTGGAATGTTGGATATAATCTATTCATCAAATCCTTTGATTCAACTGCACTTTTCATTTTATGAGATTTCTTGATTGTTTATTACTCTTCAAACCAACCATGGGAATCCATATGTGCTCATTAATCATTAATATAATTTATTTACTTCAATTATAAGCAAAATTGTTTTTATATTTAATGGCTACTATGTACTTAAACAAATTATGTCACATGTTCTCCATTACATAAGGATTAACACTTCCCCCTCTTTTTGATTCATTAAGAAATTTAAAGGGTTTCCTTAATTAATTACAGTTCAATACATATAACTTCATTACCTTAAGCTATCTTATACCATTATCGGCAAAACTATGATAAAATGTACGACCAAGATCTAGTTAGAAAAAGATGAAGAAATGAATCTATAATAGTGAGTAGAAGTTATCCAAAATAGAAATTGGAAAGTTCCATTCTACCATTATATTATGAAAATGAGAAGTCAATAGAGGTAGAGATTAAGCACTCTTGGTATTAAGCATATGTGGTTCTCTTATTATTATTATTTTGGTAAGTAGGTTTTATATTAAAAAACAATGAGGTTACAAAGTAACGTGAACGGCCCATAAACCAAAACAAATTAAAATGACAAAGGCACACACGCTCGTGTCCCAATAGCACGCAAAATCAAAGAAAAAAAAGGCACAAATGCCTACAAAAGACGGAAGGAGCACTCAAACTTGTAAATAAAAACACAAAAAGAGGCACAGACACCTAAAGAGAGGAACAAGAAACTAGGATCGTCATCCTTTCTTCTTACCCTTGGGCACTGGCAAATCCGAAGGACGAGAGGACTGGGACTGGAGCATGGGCCACTCCATGTCAAAGTATAGGTCCACCCTGGTGTCTTTAGTGGGGATAGTAGGAACCATAGCTAACGAACCTTCATAACCGTCAACAGAAGACTCGTCACTTGATTGGTCCCTCGTCACCCTTTTAAGGGCTTTGTGGACCGAAAGATCACGACCTCCATAAACGGGTCACCACTTGAGGACATCCGCCAAAGAAAGATTATAAACATATTAAAAAATTTAATAGAATTAATGATTAAAAAAACTATCTTTGGAATGACATTTGGCATGTCATATGCCTTTCTAGTTGTAGCCCCTTTTGAATTTGGGCCCAACAGGTGAACTGGGTCATGACAGGATTCATTTGAGAAATTGGTTTGGAGTCTTGGACTCAATTATCAAGCCCATGTTCTACTTAGATTTTAGACTTAACAAAAAATAGTTTTGGGATAACAGTTCAATTGATCACATGTATATTAACTTAGCTTATAATTATTTATGAGTATAGTGGGATGTAAGGGCATCTTTTTAAAATATAGTTCAACATTTGGTACACTACTAGGTGTTTGTGCAAATATTCAATTTTCAAAGCTATACATTATTAGGCCTTTGCCCACTTAATAGTCTTTGACTCATTGTTTTGTTGGTGCTTTAGTCAGATGACGACTTCACTAACTTTTTTGTTGTCTTTACTTTAATGTGTCTACACATCACAAAGACCATCAAAAGATGAAATTTGTGTCACAATATTTGACTACTTTGCTTTTGTTTTGATATAAACAATCTCAATGCAATTGCTTATTCACCCCCATCCCCATACATTGTATATGTGAATTCTAATGTATTGTTTCCTCACATTTTTCACTTGATATGATGTTTGTGTATTTGCTTACACCATTACAAGAGAATTGGTAAAGACAATGTACTAGTTATCGTGCCTACAGTAAACATTGGACAACCAAGTGCGAAGCTAATAGCTACTAAAAGCATCTAAGTAGTAAGCCTACCCTTAAGGTGAGTGTTCTTCTATTCCGACTTCCCTAGAACTTTTGCTAGCACGGTCGCAAAAGCAATGGATCTTCTTCCCATACGAGGATAAAGTCATAAAACGTAAAAGTTTAGAGGATGCAAGACAGATCACAACGAAACAAATAGTTTATCATTATAATAAGTGTGTAAATGATGTATGTAGTTGAGACATTTTAACTAATATAAAAGTTTAGATAACAAATTAATAAGAATGGTTACTCTCATAGTAACTAATATATAATGTATTAACATACAAACTCTAAGGGGTTAATTAATTTTTGGGTTCAAACTTTTAGATGACAATTATTGTGGCTTACCATACTAACATCTACTTTGAGAAAGATGAATGAATTTGCAAAGTTGGGATACTTCAGAATATTGGGAGAGAGATCCGAAGGAAAGAGAGACCTTCACCCAATAACCAAAACACAACGCAGCAGCACAGAGACAAAGAACACCGGGAATCTCTTAAACGCTTCCTTTGTCTCCTCCTAACTCTAATTCAAACCCTAAAAAAGCCAAAAATATTCAAATCACACCCACACGAACCCCACTCACTCTCTCTACAGTGTTATCTGTCGCCTTCAATTGTGACTTTTGCTCCACCACTCACACTACACACTTCACATTCCCTCTCTCTCTCTCTCTTCCCCCTCTCTCTACTCTTTTTTTTTTTTAATTATAAATTAGGGTTTCTGTCACAATGACTTCTACTACTACTACTTCTACTACGACTTCTCCCAATAATAATAATACTTCTAATAATAATAATAACGATACTCCTACTAAGGAAGCAGACGAGGAGCTTGTTGTGGGTCAGTCTGTCGAGGCCGTTCAAGTGTCTGTTCCGGAAAAGGCGGAGACCATTAGTGCTGGCCGTGCTGAGGAAGAAGAGGTGGGTGTGAAACCGGAGGATCCGATGGAGGAAGATTTGGTGAATCCGGCTACTGTGTTTTGTATTCGGCTTAAACAGCCTAGGTCTAATTTGCAACATAAAATGAGCGTGCCTGAATTGTGTCGAAATTTTAGGTAGGTACTTGTCAAGTTGTTGAATTGGGTTTATTATTTATGTGGGTTTGATCAATTTTTGTTCTTTCAGTGCTGTTGCTTGGTGTGGTAAATTGAATGCTATAGCTTGTGCATCTGAAACTTGTGCCAGAATTCCGAGGTACTTTGTCTTTTGCCCTTTTTCCATTTTCAATTGCTTTGGAGTTAAATTTTGTGTTTCAGATAAATGTGAGTTCCTGTGTTGACCTTCCTGAACATAGGTGAATTGGTCTTATATGATGTTTTGTTTTTGTAGTTCTAATGCAAATCCACCATTTTGGATTCCTATACATATTGTGATACCTGAGCGACCTACCGAGTGCGCAGTGTTCAATGTCATAGCAGGTAACTTGATGTTTCTTGATGTTTTTAATTGTATTATCTTATTTGTATTCTAGTTTTAAGCATATTATACTATGTTGTTGGATGAACTGAGTGTTCTTGTTGTTTATCTTAGTAAGGTTGGGAAACTGTTTGCTCCTATGATGTGATAGTATTGTTCTAATACATATATTATTATTTAAGATATTGTTGTTATTAAGGAAGTGGAATACATATATGTATTGAACAATGTCTAGCAAATGGTTTATTGTTTAGGATGTCCATTTGATGTACTAGCTCTAATTCTTGTAATTTGTAGATTTTTACTCTCTATGCTGAAGCATTGTTTTTCTCTTCGATTGAGTATCAATATCGTGTAATTGCTTTGAATACTTTTTGCAGATTCTCCTCGTGATTCTGTTCAGTTTATCGAATGGTCCCCTACTTCATGCCCTCGTGCCTTATTAATAGCTAATTTCCATGGGCGGATAACTATCTGGACTCAGCCTTCTCATGTAAGCTAGCCCTGCTGCACTAATTCCTTGAAATACTTTTATTAGATGCCTTATGATGCACAAGTTCTTAGCATGCTTCTCTTTCTTTTCTTTTCTCTTGTTTTTTCATTTTGGTGCAATGACACAGGGGTAGATATTTGTTGCCTCTTGGTCATAAGTTGTTTTTAAGCATACTAGTGGTTTGTATATGTAGGGGGCAGCCAATCTGGTACGTGATGCGAGCTGCTGGCAGCGTGAGCATGAATGGCGGCAGGATATTGCAGTTGTTACAAAGTGGCTCTCAGGGGTGTCTCCGGTATGCATTTGGCTATGTCTTCTGCTCATTTGATGCTTGGAAACTTAATATATCTTGCTCATGTTTTATCCTAAGCACTTTTGCTTTGTTTTACCTGTTTTCATGATCAGTATAGGTGGCTTTCCTCAAAATCCGCTGTTGCTTCTAACTCAAAATCAATTTTTGAAGAAAAATTTCTTTCACAACAGTCTCAAACTTCAGGTTTGGTTCTTTCCGCTTCATTATTGTTTACACTAATCATGCACACGATGTTTTAGGTCTGGTTTGCAATCTTCCATTAAACTGTGGGTTCTTGTTATCCCTTGTTGACTAGCATGTTACATCTGGATATATCAATTCACTTCTACTGTTACTTTGTGAACGACTTGGATCAGATTGTACTGAAGTTATTACCAGAATAGTTTTGTCAACAGTCCTGTCATAATAGTTTTAGTAAATGATATCACTTGAGTTTGTGGATAAAAACTTCCTTTTGGTTTTTAGTCAATGAATCTTCACGTTGGTAACCTTTTATCTTTTCCTTTTGATGATGATGCTATGGATGGCAGATATATTTTTTAGGGTTTTTTACTTATAAAACATATCATACAAAGTTATAGAAAAATAACCATTATGTTTTTTCTAACAGAATAATATGGTTTTCTTTCTCTGTTTTTACTTTCTAAACAAAAATAACCACTATGTTGATTACTTAGGATTGATTTCTGAGGTTAATAATCATGTGACCAGACTTGTGTTGCTAGTCCAGTTGTTAAACAGCTTATTATGACAATAATGTAGCCTTTGTTCAAATGTTTTTTTTTTTTTTTTTTTTTTTTATAAAATAAAATTTGAATTTCAGTCAATGGATTTGCTGATGCAATACCTGGTTTTCACTTCAGATAGGTGGCCCAATTTTCTCTGCGTTTGCTCCGTTTTTTCATCAGGCTCTGTACAGCTTCACTGGTCCCACTGGCCTCCTAGTCAAAATAGTACATCATCAAAGTGGTTTTCCACAAGCAAAGGGCTTTTGGGTGCTGGGCCTAGTGGGATCATGGCTGCTGATGCTATAATAACGGACAGCGGTGCCATGCATGTGGCAGGTGTTCCAATTGTTAATCCTTCTACTGTTGTTGTTTGGGAGGTCACTCCTGGCCTAGGGAATGAGTTTCATGCAACTCCGAAGACAAGTACTGGCAGCGAGGTTCCGCCTTCTGTTAAACCACCCAAATGGGCAGGTTTTGCTCCTTTGGCTGCATATTTATTTAGCTGGCAAGAGTATATATTATCTGAAGCTAAGCAAAAAGGAAAGTTGACAGATCAAGATTTTAGTGATGCTGTATCCCTTCATTGCTCTCCAGTTTCAAATTTTTCGGCATATGTGAGTCCTGAGGCTGCAGCTCAATCTGCAGCAACTACTACATGGGGCTCTGGAGTGACTGCAGTTGCCTTTGATCCAACCCGTGGTGGTTCTGTGATTGCTGTTGTTATAGTTGAGGGTACTCATCTATTTTCTTGGCTTAAAACTTAATTTCTGATTTCAATTTGTAAGCGTTTCTAACCGAGGCATGCATTTTTGTTGATAATTTCTATTTTCGGTTACATTGTGCAGTCTTGATATGTATAATCTTGTTTGCTCCTCTACATATTTTTTGCCCTCAACATGCATCGCCTGTGCTTTCATATGAAACTACAATTTTATTTGACTATTCTAATTTGATTTCTTTACTATGTCCTTTTTTAAATTTTCATATATGCTTTTCCTTGTATTGCAATGGTACTTAGATCAAATATTCATTTCATATAATATTGCACTGTTCCTGGGTCGGAATATACGTTGCCTCTGTAATTGGAATGCCATTTGGACCTAGATCTCTCTCTTTTTCCTTCCTGTTAGCTGGTTTTAAGGGAATAAATTATTATTGTTCGTCTTCCAGTGACATTTTCTGTAGTCTGATATCGATATATAAAATCTCTCTTTTATTGTCATCAATACTATCCAAATGCTTGACTACTAGCCTCAAGAGTACACTATGGACTTTTCTTTCTTGCTTATACATCTAAAATTAGATAAATTTCTCTATTTTAACTCTCTTTTCTGGTGTTCTGTTGACATCTATGTAGTTCTCACTGCATAACCAAGTTGATAATCTGCTTGTTCACTACTGCAGTCCAATAAATAACCTATAAAATGGAAATCCACACTGCCACAACAAAATCCTAAAGTGATCACTCGTTGAACAAATTTTTGACAGGAACTCAAGTAACATTCTCTTGTCAGTCTTAAACCAAAGCAAGGAAGGTACATGACAAACACAAATAGAATATGCTGGAGAGTTGAAAGATCACATACGTTGTTCCTGCTATCCTTGTGGTATGTGAGTGATGTTATCTGGGAAAAGTTTAGCCATCCAAAGTCTCCTATCTTCGGGTTTAACTCTTCGTCAGAAGTATATTACTAGCTTTGATGTCTCTATGCACGATAGGTGGCACAAGTTCTTCATGAAGGAGAGCAACCTTTAGCAATACCCACCAAATAGCAGATCTTTTTTTCCAGTCCACTTTAAATTTCTTTTTGTTGAACCTGAAAAGAAAAAAAATTATCCCTTCACCTTCCTCAGTATAAAATTCTAAATTCCAGTTTTCTGCTTGATTTACCTAATAATACACGATCAAGACTGCTATTTTCTACATATTCAGGACCAATATCCTCTTGGTTCCTTGAATACAGCACCCAAGCAACTCAACAGTTCGATGCTTGACATCTGATAGAGTATTGACCTCAGTTCTAAATTCCTGCACGCCCTGCTTTGACTCAGCAGAAATTGTCTTTACTGCAATTTGCTTTCCATTTTTTAGGACTCCCTGGCAACATGGCAACCAAGTTAATACATTAAAAGGTTTTGCAAACATGAGATGGACTAAAACAATACCCTTATCCTGTGTTATACTACCATTATGTTATAGTAGGAAAGCATGAAGCCAAGGATACCAGGTTTCATACAAATTATTTTAGGAAAAGAAAAAGGACGAAATGTCTGATCCCCAGTCTATATGGGTGACTTTATCCTTCCACAAAAGTAAATGGCATAAATTTAGCCCATCAAGAAGTGAATGCATAATAGAAAGATACTGAATAGTGTTCCATATTTCATCCTAATAGTTAAACCATCTGCAGATTTTGGTGTACCTTGTAAACAGTTCCAAAACCTCCTCTCCCTATCTTATTACTTAAATGAAAATCTTCTGTTGCCTTTCTCAATTCCTTGTAGGAAATAGTTGACATTTCCTCGTACTTTGCCCTAGACAACATCAAAAGAGAAGCAACAAAAGAATTTTTAAGAGAACAAAGCTAAAATCATACAAATGCATGAGCAAGAAAAAGGAACTGTGAAGTGAAAATACCAACAGGAGTCAGAACAAAAGCTCATCTGAAATGGCATCTAAAACAAACTAAAGCATTAATTAAGATGATCCATGAAAGTACTTTAACCAGTTTCCTTGAATATCGTCTGACATTAATTGGGCATTAGATAGCTTAAAACTTCAAGAAGTTGGCAAAGGCACCTTAATAACCGTTTCATATTAGAATAACATTTTTGGCTTCCCATTTTGAACAAATAATAAAAGAGACACAGGAAACATTTCATAATTGTTAAGGTTAGGTTGGCAGGTCAAATCTACCCCACTGTTCATGCGGTTGGACTAATGGTATATTTCCCTGAAATTTTTATTACAAATACGGTTGAAGGCAATTTCTTGCAGCAGATCTGTACATATCTTCTGAGATAAATCCTTATAGTTGTCAAAATAGAACAGATGTAACTGTAAGGAGGAGTGATTTTGAGAAGAAAAAAGAACTAGATCTATTGTTAAAAAGAAGAGTACTCCTACAAAGGTCTTTAGTCCACAGGTAAATTGTTTCTGTGTTACAACAAAGGGTTATGCATCAAGTTACATCACAATAATCTTTTGCACACGTTTCATATAGAAAATAGCACATGTGAGTGCTCATGCCTTCAATTCCAGCCAAAATGTATTACATAATGCTTATAACAGTCAAATAGAGTTAATAGAAACTGATACACCCCCTAACTTACACCAACAACAACAATTGCCTCATATAATCATATCAAAATACAATGATTCATTCCCATAAGAAATGTCCCATAAGTTCAAGAAGCACCCATGAAATGTTGATGCTATTGAAATTTTACTGCATACAAAAACATCCACACAACCAAATAGATTTAACTTAGAGTTTACTATATAAAAAGCTGATTGAACGTTCAACATAAGAAATCATTGCTTAACAAAGTCCTCCCCATCTACGCCCATGAGCGCTGCGGCACATCATCCCTTTCCCGTGCTTAGATGAGCCAGTAAGCATCCACATCACTATCTGTATATGATATTTAGTTGGTATCCTCCTTTTCACATAGATATGCCTATAAACACAAATTACAGTTCAACATCAGAAATTCTGGTTCATGCCCGGATCACCAAATCCATTTAAGCAAAGGTAAACAAAAACATCAATCATCAAATAAGGCTCATAACAAAAAATCATAGTACTACCACAACAACTGAATTATAATATGTATCAAATCCCCACCAAATTCAAACCCTAAAATTCACAAAAAAAAATCCCAATTCCCATTCAAAAGATAAATTCAGCGCATCAAAACAAAGCAAAAGGGAACCGTTTCCAGCTCTTCTCAATACCTTAAAAAACGAAGCTTACTTAAATAGAGAAACGAAAAACAAATGCCCAAGAGCTAAAAATACTTACAAAGTGAATTTGACAATGAAGGCGTCAACCTTTCTACAAGTAGATGAAGTATCCAATACGTGTTGTTTAACATGAAGCGTGAAATTTTTTTCTTTTCTTCTAGTTTTGTTCTCGTTATTGAGGTATACTTGTATTTGTTTGTTTAATAAACCAAAAAAAAAAAAAAAAAATCAATAATTGACCGCTTCATTATAATACTAGAAAAATTTAATAATCAAAGCAGTATTTTTTGACGTTTCCTTTCTTCTGTGGTTGATAACTTGATATGACATTACAAAGAAACCCTATAAAAGTGTGATTGGTCTCCAGCTTTCACCGCTCTACTCTCGTTCACACTTCCTCTGTTATTTACTCCTGAAATTAACTGTTCTTTTTGCTACCATCCCTTGTTTCCCCATTTCTATCTATACATTATTTATCACGTAAAGCAGTACAAATTATTAATATGGAGCAATTTTACTTGTCAAATCTACTAGAAAAGTAACGATATACTTTCAAACAAATCTTACCAAAATTTAGGTACAAAGCCAGAAACCCAACGAAATATTATTATGAACAATACTCATATTCACTCTTTTACTCATTTTAGTCATATTATTTTGTATAAAAAATTTTATAAAATTTATTTGTACATCTAATATATTGTCGCTATAAATTATTTGGTCCATCAAACAAAAAATACTCTACTAGAAATTGTCTGGTCCATCAAGTAAAAATAATCCACTTTGGGATCAGGTTGTGTGGATTTTGATTTGTGAAACATCATTAATGATTTAATGGTAAAAAAAAAAAAAGGTTCTATGAGCTCCTGAATTCGAGTCTCCTTAAACTAATAGATAATACTGCAACTATTATCCGATCAGTAGTTTTAAAGTCTCAAGGATTATTTGAGGTGCGTGCAAGGTATGTCCACTTAAGGACTACATCTGTGTTTGCATAAAGACGTGGCCAGGATTTTAGTAAATAAGTTAAAAACATTTAATTGATAAATTTACAATAAATTTAGTGGGTCATATAAATTTATAAAGTTAAAATTGTAAATTATAAAATAAAAACCTTCTTCTCTTTTTTAAAGTTGAAGTGGTCTTAATATGAATTTAAGTGGAGTCCAAAATTGTAAATCCTATAAAGTATATAACATTTTTTTGAATGGGTTCAATTAAACTCTTATGTTAACAGTGTGGTAATTATGCGACATTGGATGTGATAACCCCCAACATTAGCGCTTTGAGACCAAACAATAACATACACGGGATTGTTTTTGGTTTCACGTGTATTTCGCTCAACATTTGTCTACTTAGTTTGACAAACTAAAACCTTAAACTGAATCCCAAACTAGATAAGTATGACAAAATCACAATTTCGCTGTGTTTAGTCTTACGTGACTTCTACGTATCAGATGCAACAAAACCAGGTAACCAAGACATGGGATCTCATTTTTGTCATCATTTATAACCATCTATCTAATGCAATAAATATATTTACATTTATTCTTTTCATCTCTTAGATTATTTTAAATGACTTAAAAAATTTACAATTTAAGTTATAAATATCTGATCCAATATATATTTCATTAACAATTCAAATACTTTATGATTAAGTTAAGTTATAAATTTTAGTTTTTTCAACTCACTTAATTTTAGTAAAAAATTAATTATAAGTTGCTTCTTCTATAATCACTTTCGACCGACTTTATGAATAATATAAAATTTACTCGTGTGAAAATTTTAAATTGCTTT